TTTTTCTTAACTTTTGTGTTCAGAGGGGTCTAAAGGAATCAGGTGCTGCAGCTGGGAGGGTTTGGGTACCTAAGGAGCTTCCAGATCCTTTGCAAATCCCAGCTTTGATACTTCATGACAACAAATTTGGTATTTGTTTAAAAGCCTTCACACAGCTTTTCTTCTTCCTAAAAGAACCTGTAAACACCACTTAAGAAAACACTCACAACTATGAAAAAACAATGCAGGTGGCAAAGTACAAAGAGAAGAGAAAAGCAGAAGATGCAGCCAAGTGCCAGGGCAGGCAGAGAGTGGAGGTAACGGGGGTGGCAAAGCTCCCTGTGCTCAGAGCCAAGGCCTTGGGACTGCCCAGCCCTCCAGCTGGGGAAGAATGGGAATCTAATGGTGCAGATTTACCCTCCCTGTCCTGAAAACAAGCCTCCAGTCCCAGGGCTAAGAGACCTTCAGCCCCAGGGGATGGTTTAAGGCCCAGATCCCCCTGCCTGCCCCAAAAGCTGGGGCTCCTCTCTTCGTTTAAGGACCACTGATGGTGGCTCAAATGTGAGGAATCTGCAAAGGGTGGGGAAGAGCCAGGCCTTCCCATGGATATGTGCACAGATTCCTGCAGGAAGGAGAGGCTGGGACACTCGCCCCACGTCCAGGAGATTCTCAGCTGCTGTGGGCCCAGCAAGTTCTCCAGGGCTCCCAGTTCCAACAGCTGGGCCTCTGCTCCCCGACTGGAATGGCCACAGATGCTCAGGCAACCCCCCCTGACCACTCTTTGGATGGGAGCTAAAGATAAGCCCTCACAAAGCTTTAAATAACCTCTCACTGCTGGCCAGGGAGGGGGTTTCTGCCACGGAAACCTTTCAACCAGCCCCCTGCTCGTGGAGATCCACCTCCAGCACCGAGACACAAACTCACTGCTAAAAACTTCTCCCAACGCTCCATCCCAGCAGCTCAGGTGGTGTCCAGCTCCTCTGTTGGCACCAGCTCAAGACCTGGTGGGCTGAGGTGAAGATCAGAGCTCATGGACCTGCTCCACGACCTACTGCAGCTACGTGGCAAGCAATGGCTGGAATGAGGCAACCAAGGGACACCTGAAGGACCAGGGTGGCAGTGGCAGTGACACTGGCGGGAGCCTGTGACTTGGATGAGGTTCAGGAAGAACGGGGAGATCGTTCCCAGTTCTCAAGATAAGGCTTCGTAAACACAATGGTACAAAGGTGTTAAAAACACACACACACAAACGGTACAGAGAGAAAAAAAAACAAACACCACGAGTTGCCTCAAGGACCCGAGTTGCAGCGAAATCCAGAAGAAAAAAGAAATCAAGGAAACAAAGGAACCCAACAGAAGTCCCCAAGGATTGTGGCTCACCCAGTGGCCGGGGTGATGTTCTCTGTGAATTCCTAGGGCTGGGTCCTGTTTCTCTCTCCTGGCAGCAACAGCTCTCCAGTGACCTCAGAGGTGGTGCTGGGAACAGCCACGGGCAGGCTGGGATCCGTGTCCCTCTGTGCTTGCCTAACTATCCTGCTGGAACACAGAACCCTACAGAACATCCAGTTTAAAACCCTTGAACTACTCTTCTGCTTGACATTTTAAAAAAAAAAAAAAAAAAAAAATTTTTTTTTTTTTTTTACATTTATTATTTCTTTATTCCTTTTTTTTTTTTTCTTTTGTGTGTGTGTGTCTTAAAGGCAGCTCCCGGGAAATTCACTTTATCCTTCCTTTATTAAAAGAAAGATGCTGAATGGGACAGAGGCCACATATCTCAAATACCCTCTTTACATTTACTCTTGCATGTCAGAGGTGCCAAAACAGGGTTTATTTCTTTAAATGTGTAAGGGGGGAAGTGAGAGGGGGTCGGTGAGGATGAGGAGGGAAATCTGAGGGGACTGAAAGAGGCGCTTTTACTTCAGCCCCCCCTCACTGGTTGCCCGCAGTAACTGTCACAGGCTCTAAAAGAATCAAGAAGGGTCTCCAGGTGCCCTGGCCCCCTGGTTTGCCTGGTGGGCACAGGAGGGGAGGGTCCTTAGCCCAAGCTGGTGATGTTGGCACGTCCGCCCGGCGGTGCCACGATGCGCTGGGTCGTGCGGCGCGGGATGTTGTCGTCGATCTGTGCCCCTGTGGGGGAGAGAGAGAGAGGGAGTCAACAACCCTGGCAGTGCTCCAAACCCATGGGGATGTGGCACCTGGGGACATGGGTCAGTGGTGGTGCTGGGTTGTGGCTGGAGTTGATGACCTCAGATGGCTTTTCCACGATTCCACGATTCTGTACTCGGAGGAAAAGCTCCCACTGGCTCCCGGTGCCTTAATTCTGCTGAAAGCTGTTCTGCACCAATAACCTCTCTGCCCTGAACACTTAAACCACCCAGCCCTGCACAGGGAGGGTTGCTTCAATGCTCTTCCTTTAGGGAGCCTTCTTATCCCTTTCTATAGTTTGCCCTTCCTGCACTGGAAGAGCAGCTGAGAAATCCAAGCTGCCCCATCCCGGATCCACAGCTGGTCCCAGCTGGCAAAGCTCTGCTGAAGTTGGTGACACCTGAAAAACAGACCCTGCCAGCCTCTTAAAAATAGAAAATTCTCACTTTTAAACACAAGGGCCTGGAGAGATCAGAGGGACAAGGGGGAATAGCTTCAAACTAACAGAGGGCAGGGTTAGATGGGATATTGGGAAGGGTGAGGGTGGTGAGGGGCAGGGATGGAATTCCCAGAGAAGCTGCCCCACCCCTGGAAGTGCCCAAGGTCAGGTTGGACAGGACTTGGAGCAACCTGGGCTAGTGGAAGGTGTCCCTGCCCATGGCAGGGGGTTGGAACTGGATGGGCTTTAAGGTCCCTTCCAACCCAAACCACACTGGGATTCCCTGATCTGCCCTCTCCAGACACCCAGATGTGAAGCCCAGCACGCCCTGGGGTGCTCAGCATTCATGCCATGGCATGAGAAGCAGCAGGACCTTATGACAGCTCCTGCACTGCCCTTCTCCCCTCCCAAAGGGATGACACCCCCCAGCTAACCACACCCCACAGCCTCTCCCTCTGCCTCCCTGTTCCAGCAGAATTAATTCCGAGCACAGGAGCACAAACCAGCTGCAATTCCGTGATTTCATAGCAATAAATCACTGAGCCTCACGAAATCCCATACCAGACAAGCTGAACCCAGACTGGTGCAGGTTCCTCACGGGGGGTGCCTGCTGTTTGGCAGGGGAGGTCTTGGCTGAGGACGCCGGCGTGACCGTCTTCGGTGTCACCGACACTTCGCACACGGGGCCGTCGTAGAGGCCTCGGGGGACACCCCTGAGCTCAGCCAGCTGCAAACACAGAGCAGGGCACAGAGCCTTCAGAACACAGCCCCACAGCCCCCAGGACACAGCCCTACAACCCTACAGCCCCCAGAGCACAGCCCCACAGCCCCCAGGACACAGCCCTACAACCCCACAGCTCCACAGCCCCCAGGACACAGCCCCACAGCCCCAGAGCACAGCCCCACAGTCCCCAGGACACAGCCCCACAGCACAGCCCCACAGCCCCCAGGACACAGCCCCACAGCTGCCCAGATGTTGCTAAGCCAGTGACACACATTGCAAGGCTGGTGGTTGGTAAGAGGATTGGGAAGCCCACGTCATCTGCTCTGCCTGATCCCTGGGGAGCTGCTCCATATCCCTGTCTATTTTGCATCTATATCTGTTTTACATCTATA